AAAAAAAAAATGTCGCGCTTGTCATGAGAGCATTTCAGAAAATACGTACTTTTCATCAGGAAACAGAGTGTGAAGCACTCGGCAGTCAAAGAGCAATTGAATAGTAGTTCGCTGTACAGCATTGGCATTTTCTACGGCACTATTCAAAGTAGTGGCCAGGAGATCAGCAACCTGAATTGCAAAAATAACTTGCAAGAAAAATAAACAACAACATTCGAGCCTATGGAACGTATCAGTAAAGATCACTCCATAAAAATGACTCAGGTATCTCAAAGAATGAATAGACGACAGCTGGCCTTATTGAGGAGAGGTAAACTAAGCCACATGACTACATTATGGGTTTAACCATATATAAACCAGATAGCTCAGATATACTGCACCTTCCCTCAATTGGTTTGGTCCGGATTTCGTCGCGTTACGATACTGAACGCAGGTGTGTAGTGGCAAGTGGCGCACTATCTCACACGCATGGTCACAGGTTCGAATCCCATATCGATATCCGTTTAAGGTAACCAAACCTTCCATCCCTCTGGATCGGTAAATTGGTACCAGACTAGTCTGGGAGGATAAATGCAGTGACTTGTACATCGGCTGGCCACCGCAAGTCATTGTATAACCCACGCACACATTCAATACGCCAAAACGATTCTGAATGGAAGTCGAGTGCGGGGGCGCATCCCTCAGACGCGATCGACTAACGCCAAAGGTCTTCAGGACTTATGATACTGAATCGCTCCCGTTTCCGTTCCCAATACGACCAAGAACATTTGAATATTAAAGCTGGCTTTTGCTGGCTCACCTCACTAGAAATCCGCTTACGAACAGCCCGCGACAGCAAATGGGAGACGCAGAGTTCGCCAAATCGACTGGAGAGTGTGAATAAAGCAGTCTGCAATGGCGGTGACACCACAACAGGCACTTCAACGACGCCGACCTCGTCCAGTTCAAGCCGTTCCCACTCCTATAAGGCGGAATGGGTGATGAGGACATCACTGAAGAACTGCTTCCTGCTCAAACAAACCATGGCGATTTCCAGACCAAGAGCTGGTTGAGTAAAAGCAGCCACGTACGGTTGCAAGACCTGCTGAGACAAGCATTCCTTAGCCACCGAGCAAGCGAAGTTACTGCAATAAAGGGATATTAATTGTAATGACTACTATGAGCCTTTCTACTCAGATGGCACAACGGAAATATTAATTGAAGTGAAGAAGCACTCCAAAACCACCTAATCAGAAGAAACTATAGCCAATTTCTGAAATAGCAACACAGATGCCGGTCAATATGTGCCTGTGCGTGCAGCTTTTTCCCTTGGTATTTATAAAAATAGTTGAACCAAGTGTTTTAGAACATAATAAACACTTAGTTTTCACTTAGAGTTCAAAAAGGGGACCCAACAAAGACCCATTGCCACACGACAAAACATACAAATCAAAAGTGTTGTTTATAATCTTCTTCCACTGCTCTGCTAGCAGTATTGTTCATGGAAAATTACGGCACTCGAAACTAAATGAATATGTTCATTTGGAAGACATATTATGGTAATCGGTCGGAGGTGGTGTAGTGACAAGTGGCGCACTTCAAACAGGCATGGTCACGGGTTTGAATCCCGGATCGATATCCGCCTAGGTCAACCGAGCCTTCCGTCCCCCCAGTGTCGGTGAATAGGCAGCAGACTCGATTGGGAGAATAAAAGCACTATCGTGTACATGGGCTGGCCACCGCAAGTCGTTGTGTAGGCTACATACGCACTCATTACGCCACTACGTCTCTAAATAGAAGTCAGTGTGGGGGCGCATCCCTCAGGCGGGATTGATCAACGCCAAAAACTTTATCCTTGAACTTTACTCATTGGCTTATATGAGCCGGTGAATAAGGGCACAGTGTAGGAAAACATTTGGCGATGGCACGAGATGATGGCGTACCCGAGGCAAGAGGAGGCCAGTGGTTCACGAGGCACGGAAGGCCGTCATCTGTGGAACCCATTTTGGGTTATACTGACACTGCGAATCAAGCCATCTCAAAAAGTACCTATTGAAAAGACATCTATCCCTCATCTATGTACAAGCGGAAATCAAAAATCTCTTAGTGGCTGTAATAGATAGTTTTACAATCGTTATTAGAAATTCAGGTTCTTTCTGGCACGTGACCACTCAGGAGTAATGAGCTACAGCGGTTTCTTATGTCCAATTCGCTTTCCCAGATATTCACATGGGGTCCTCAAAGAAATTACCTAAAAACTGTTCCAAGCTTTTACTTGGGGTCGATATATAGAACGGAACGCAAGAGTTCATTCAGATTGGCATCTATTTGTTTTCGGCTTCCAAAAAACATTGAAATGCTGGAACCTTTCCCGTGTACTCGGACTTCATTTTGTTCCAAAACGATAGCTAATGAAAGGGGATTTTGATTACCAGGGCAGCAGCAAGGACCTGCTCCTTGGAAGTTTTCCAAACAGTGCTAATCACTGAAGTAGTAACCTAGAGAGAAGAGAAAACTCGTCAAAGAAAGTGACATTTCAATTGCAATTGCGCATTTATCAGCATCGAAGCACCTAGTAAACGGTCAATGGTATAGTTTACCACTGATTGAAAACGGTTTCTATAAAATTTCAGAAGACTGAGGATGATCTCAACGATATCGACTATCGATTAGAATACAAAACGCAGGAAAAAGCCAATGATTGTAAATTTGGTCTCATTGTCCGGACTGCTTCAGCGCGTCCTCAACAAAAAATGGGAGAATGTGAAACCAGGTACTATAGCAAACAAATGGCCGACAGTCGACATGGCACAAATCAAACTAACACCTTCTGTTGACCCCTTATGACTCTCTGAAGTATTTAGATATCGCTTTAGATGTGATTTAGCGGTCGCGTTCACTCATCTGCCAACTCTGCTGCTGTTGATGTTCGGTGAAAAAGCTGCTGCTGGTTCGTCGCATGTCCGCCGAGTCCAGGAATCTTCCAGTCAACATATTAACCCAAGAATGTAGCCACTCCTCACCATGTAGTAACACCCCCAAAACAAAGTAAATATGGTTATTGTAACGGCATATCAGCGAAGACGACGTTATGAGTAAATAGGGCGAAGAAAACTAGAGACCATATTCATTCACAGGGAATGAATGTCGTTGGGGGTGAAAGTGATGCTAGAGGCATCGCTCGCTAAACCATGGGCAGGGGCATCTGATTCCTCCTCGGTCAGTCAGTCTCCCTGTTGTGGTTGATTGATTGCTATCAGAATCGTATGGGGAACATAAAACATTGATCCGAATATCAGCTGCTCCCCGTAAGTCAATCAATGAGCTCTTTAAGCACTCAAATGGCTTTCAGTATTATGGCCCATCCAAGGTGATCTAATCTAACTCGAAAAATTAGCTCATCCATTTAATTTACTAACAAAAAAAAGTTAAAGCACTGAACCCTACAACTCTAAAAAAGAGCTGTGCGGCTCATCAAAAACCGTTATTTGAACCAAAAATCCAAACAAAAATGCCTAGGAGACGGCTCTTGGCACCATCGATGAGAAAGGGGTTCGGGCGCAGAGCGATCCTCCTCAGTTGCAGCTTCGAATAACCACAAGGAAAAAACAGGGCCATAGGTAGAGCTTATCAGAAACCCAACAAGTCAAACCCTTGTTTTCTCATCCCCAAGTTTCTGAATCCGTTTGCACTAGTTTTACTCTTCTTATCGCAACCTTTTGTTAGTTTCGTGTTCATGTCCGAGCCGACACCTCCCACTT